ACTAGGTAGGCACTGTGCTGTCTGAGCTGCAACGCAACCCCCTCCAGTCTTTAAAAAAAAATTATGTGCATGTCATGTATGTGTGTCTGATCTGTGTGTGTGTATAGTATGGGCACATGTGGTCCCACTTTGGTGCTTGTGTGGAGGCTAGAGAGGTTAGAACATAATTTCTGAGAGGTTAGAATATAATTTCTGGTGTTGGTTCTCCTTGCTTTCTTCCTTGTTTGAGGCAGGTGCTTTTGTTCGCTGTTGTGTACACCCAGCTAGCTGGCCCACCCTGGCAGGTGAGCTTCCAGGGTTTCTCTTGAAAGTGCTCTGCCTGCCAGCTCTTGCTGTGCCTCTGTCAGGAGCAGTAGGATCACAAATGCATGCGATTTCACCCTCTGAACCAGCCATCACCCAGCTCACCTCTAGCCCCCTTTAAAGTTTTGTTTGAAGAAAGGTCTTAGTAGCCAGGTGGTGATGGCACACTCCTTTAAACCAGTGCTCAGAGGCAGAGGCTGGCAGATCTCTTTGACTTTGAGTCCAGCCTGGTCTACAAAGCAAGTTTAGGACAGCCAGGGTAACACTGAAAAACTCTGTCTTGAAAGGAGAAAAAGACAGAGAGAAAGAAAAAACAAACAAAAAAACAGATCTTGGTAAGCTGCTCAGAACTAATCTCAAATTCCATATGCTCCCTCTTTAAACCTTCCCAGTGTTGGGATTAAAGACCCTACCACCACACGGGCCACCATGCCAAACAGTTCATAAAGACTTACATTTAAAAAAAATGTATTGTGTCAATGTATGATGGGGTGGGCATATGCCACAGAGTGTGAGCGAGGGGCGGGAGGGAGGAGAGAGAGAGAGAGAGAGAGAGAGTGTGTGTGTGTGTGTGTGTGTGTGTGTGTGTGTGTGTGTGTGTGTGTGTGTCATAGTACAGCTGTGGTGTAGGTTCCCTCCTCTAACCTTTATGTGATTCTAGGCGTTGAACACAGAGTGTGGGAGAGAGAGAGTGTGTGGTGTGTGTGTGTGTGTGTGTGTGTGTGTGTGTGTCAGAGGACAGCTGTGGTGTAGGCGCCTTCCTGTAACCTTTATGTGATTCTAGGCATTGAACACAGGTTGTCAGGCTTGTGCAGCAAGCACTTTATCCACTGAACCATCTTGCTCAGTTCAAAGATGTAAGAAAAAAAAAAAAAAGATTTGTCTTATGTGTATGGATGGGTATGTGCACTTGAATGCAGCCTGGAACCAGGCTGGCCTCAAACTGTCAGCCTCTGCCTCCTGAGTGCTGGGATTAAAGGCATGGCCTACCACTCCTAGTTGCAGCATTTTCAATATAGAACTCACATGCTCTTACTCCTATTTGACTGTAATAGCTAGGATTGCTGTTTTGAGAACAAGACATCTGGAAGAACAGTTAGAAATGAGAGAGATTGTCACACCAGGACTGTAGAGCTTGTCATACCAGGACTGTGGAGATTGATCACACCAGGGCTGTAGAGATTGATCACAACAGGACTGTAGAGCTTGTCATACCAGGACTGTAGAGATTGATCACACCAGGACTGTAGAGATTGATCACACCAGGACTGTAGAGATTGATCATACCAGGACTGTAGAGATTGTCATACCAGGACTGTAGCATTGGAAGCTGGAAGCCATGGAGACCTGCTGTTCTCTGAGGGTGGGTCCAGTAGGAGTACCTCATGGAAGGCTAGGAGAACAACTGTTAGTTTTTGATGGGAGCATCTGTAAAAACAGAGTTGCAAATGGGCAGACTGCAGGGTTAGAGGGGTTTTAGTGAGCAGAGCTCTGTTGTTCTTGGTAAGCTTTCCTATTGTGAATAGGCTGGTGGGTATGTGAGCCTGGTGTTGAGCAAAAGAGGACAGATCCCTGAGTCTTGACTGCAGAACTGAAAGCAGGTGACAAGGAGGAAACATGACAGCAGATAGAAACAGGAAGATGGGGAAAGTGGTGCTTAGGGACACATGAAGAAAAAAATGTGTATCAAGGAAATTAAAGAATTTCTTTCCACCACCTAGAGCAGTGGTTCTCAACCTTTGGGTCACGACCTATTTGAGGGGTTTTAAAGACCCTCTCATGGGGGTCACCTGAGACCATCTGCATATCAGATATTTACATTAGGATTCATAACAGTAGCAAATTATAATTACGAAGACGTAATGAAAAGAATTTTGTGGTTGGGGGTCATCACAACAGGAGAAACAGTATTAAAGGGTTAAAGCATTAGGAAAGTTGAGAGCTGCTGTCCCAGAGGGTCATGATGGTAATTATAGTCTTCTTGGGAACCAGTGCTTTTCCTATAATTTATACTAATATTCTTTGTTTGTTTTAAAAAACAACAAACAATGGGTGTTACAGAGTCCAGAGTGGCCTCTGGAACTCCTAATGGAGGCTAGCCTCCTGACTTTTTTGAGGCAAAATTTCCTCTGGCCACGTTGACCTTGATCTCCAGCCTCAGCCTCCCGAGTGTGGGAATTACAGGTATAAGATACCACACCTAGCATTTATCTTAAAATGTCAACTCAGAGTGTTTTAAAACAGGACAGATGGACTCTCTTGTAGTTCAAGGTACATGATAAGCTCAGAGACAGGACAGTGGAACTTTGTGACCACAGTCTATTCATAAACACTGACAAGATTTCAGCTTTTTTGTTTTGTTTTGTTTTCCAAGACATGGTTTCTCTGTGTAGCCTTGGCTGTCCTGGAACTCACTTTGTAGATCTAGCTGGCCTCGAACTCACAGAGATCTGCCTGCCTCTGCTTCCTGAGTGCCTGGATTGAAGGCATGTGCCACCACCATCCAGTGTAAGACTTCAGCTATTTTAATATAAATCACAGGAATGAAAGTAATAATTGGAACAAACTACATTGTTTCTTTGTTGTGGCAGACTATTAATCTCTAGGATGTGAGGAGAGAGAGCATGGTTTGTGATCTAGGACTCTTCAAAGCCCTCTGCATGCTGCTCTTACCATGACTTCATTACCCGTCACCTTATCTTCCAGCTGTGGTCTTGCCTGGTGCTCTTTTGTGTTATCTTTTTTTTTTCTCCTGCTGGGTTGCCTCATCCAGTATTGATACTAGGGTTTGTGCCCAGACTTAGTATGTCTTGTTAGGTCATATTCAGTGGATATCCCTGGGAGATCTGCTTTTTTTTGAAGGAAAATGGAGGAGTTGATCTAAGGGAAAGGGGAGCTGAGAGAGGGACTAGGAGGTGTGAGGAGAGGAGAGACTTAAGTCATTGTAATGTATGAAAAGGAATAAAAGCTTTTTTAAAAAGTGGATTTGGTATTAAGGAAGTGGCAAGGTTTTTAACTTTATTATTATTATTATTATTATTTTGGTTTTTCAAGACAGGGTTTCTCTGTGAAACAGTCCTAGCTGTCATGCAAACTCACTCTGTAGACTAAGCTGGCCTTGAATTCATGGAGATCTGCCTGCCTCTGCCTCCCAAGTGCTGGGATTTAAGGTATGTGCCACTACCAACCTGCATTTATTTTATTTTTATGTGCATTAGTGTTTTTTCTACATGTATGGCTATGTGAGGGTGCTGGCTCCCCTGGAGCTGGAATTAAAACTGTTGTGAGCTGCCATGTGGTTGCTGGGAATTGAACTCGGGTCCTCTGGAAGAGCAGCCAGTGCTCTTAACCTCTGAGCCATCTGTACATCCCCAGATTTTAACTTTCTCGAGGGAAAGAAAAATAACTTTAGCGGGAAGGTATTTGAATACAAAGAACTTCTCTCTGTTCCAGTAGTTGGTACAGTGGCAAGGGAAGGGCTGTGGTACCAGACATGGCCATAAATCAACAGCCACAGATTTAAAATAGAAGGATCTGAATTCAGGGCCGGGCGTTGGTGGCGCACGCCTTTAATCCCAGCACTCAGGAAGCAGAGGCAGGCGGACCTCTGTGAGTTCGAGACCAGCCTGGTCTCCAGAGCGAGTGCCAGGACAGGCTCCAAAGCTACACGAAGAAACCCTGTCTTGAAAAAACAAACAAAAAAGAAGGATCTGAATTCCTTTGGAGGAAAAATAAAAGATTATTTTTTAATTGTTTTAAACAGCCAGGCGTGGTGGTACATACCTTTAATTCTAGCACTTAGGAGGTAGAGACAGATTTCTGAGTTCCAGGCTAGCCTGGTCTATAGAGGTAGTTCCAAGACAGCTGGGACTACATAGAGAAACCCTTTCTGGAAAAAAAAAAAAAGTTTTAAATGATTTTATAACCTGTCAGAGAATGGCTTTTCATGCTTGCCCTTTGCGTCTTCAGCAGAGAAGTTTTGAAACTTACATGACCTGGTGTTTGAGGTAAAAAAACCAAAAAACAAAAAAACTCTTCTTTTGAGAAAAGCAAGTTTAGGGCCATCCTGGGTGACATGGAAACACTTTCCCAGAAAAGTAAAACCGGCTCAGAGTTTCAGTGTGGCTGATGGAAGCCCGTGCTCTGTAGATGGGTGATGGCAGTGGCTGCACAGCGGTGTGAGTGGATCTCATGGCACTGAATTGTGCATTTAACGGTTAGAAGGCAAACAAAACCCAAACTCCTCCCTGAGTCAGCGTGAGACCCTGCGCAGAGGAACATATCACTGTTACTGTTTTTTCTTGTCCTTTCTTCTTTGAAGGTTACCTAACTAGGTTGGTTGTCTTCTTGATGGTTGTGACATGGCATATCTCTGAAGTAGAATTCCCAGTACTTAGAGGGAGTTGTAGGGGAACATGTGTACACAGAACAGTAGCTAGAGACTTAGAAGTTTCCCAGGTGCCTGTTACCTTCCAGTAGTGCTCATGGTGGGGACACACAGTAGGGCAACTGACTCACCAGATGCTTTGATTCCCTTTCTTGATTTCCCATCTTCTTGTTTCTGTTGTCTAGGACAGAACAGTAAACTAAGCAGACTCTGACCATTGGCCTCCCTTCCACCAGCCAGGATCAACCTCTCTGTCTGTGGTCCATGAGCTGCATCATCTACCATCATTGTGCAACCGGCCCCCAACGCAATGTGTGTTTGTCAAACCATGGAAGTGGGGCAGTATGGCAAGAATGCAAGTCGGGCCGGAGACCGAGGAGTCCTCCTGGAGCCCTTCATCCATCAGGTGGGCGGACACAGCAGCATGATGCGGTACGACGATCACACTGTGTGCAAACCTCTCATCTCCCGGGAACAGCGCTTCTACGAGTCTCTCCCTCCTGAAATGAAGGAATTCACCCCTGAATACAAAGGTCAGTCAGTGGTCCTTTTTATGACTGACAGGCTTTTAACTCAGTTGTCCTTGTTTTGTTTGCCCTATGATGTGGTTATAGTTCTCTCTTACCTCTATTTTGTTAGGCAAAATTAGAAACTGAAATTATCAGGAAGGTTTTTAGATTGTGAACACTGAATTAATTGTTAGTAAAGCTGAGGAAAATCCACAGCAGGAAAACCCACTGACAAGGAAGCCTATTGTTAGGGAGTTCCTTGTTTGTCTATAGGTCTAGGGGAAAAGGGGACAGTTCTTTGGTCTCTGAGGAGGATAGAGCGCTACTTTGCAGGCTTTAAAGTGTTTGGACAGCTGGCAAAGGCCTGGTGTGGTGCTGTGTCTGTGTATGCAGGAGAAATGTGTTTATAGAATATTCTGGAGCCCTGAAGTTTTTGTTTGTTTTGTTTTTTTAAACGATTTTTTTATTTATTATGTATACAGTGTTCTGCCTGCAGGCCAGAAGAGAGCACTAGATCTCATTACAGATGGTTGTGAGCCACCATGTGGATGCTGGGAATCTGGTCTTCTGGAAGAGCAGTCAGTACTCTTAACCTCTGAGCCATCTCTCCAGCCCTGAGCTCTGAAGTTTTAACAATTGGAAACTGTTTTAAGATAAGAGCTAATTTTACAGAACAGAAAGAACCCTGTGACTATTGGAATCAGGCCACTTTAGCATCTGATCTTTGCACTCTGTATGTATATTAATTACTATCTGGTCAGTTTTGATGTTGATGTTTGTTTTACTTTTAATTTTTTTTTAAAGACAAGGTTCTTTATGTAGCTCTTGCAGTCCTGTAACTCACTATGTAGACCAGACTGACCCTTGAACTCACAGAGATCCACCTGCTTCTGCCTTCTGAATGTTAGGATTAAAGGCTTGCATCGATGCAGTTGGCCTATCCATCTGTCTTAGTCAGTGTTCTGTTGTTGTGAAGAGACACCATGACCACTGCAACTCATATAAATGAAAACATTTAACTAGGTCTGGCTTACAGTTTCAGAGGTTTAGTTCATTGTCATCATGGTGGGACATGGTGGCATTCAGGCAGACATGGTGCTGGAGAAAGGAGCTAAGAGTTCTACATCTTGATCTGCAGGCAACAGGAAGTAAACTTTCATTGGGTGTAGTGTGAGTGTAGGAGTCCTCAAAGTCCACCCCCCACAGTGGCATACTCCAGCAAGGCCATACCTACCCCAACAAAACTACATCTCCTAATAGTGCCACTCCCTATGGAGGCCATTTTCTTTCAAACCACCACATAAAACATTTTTTAAGTTAGTTATTTTCTGTGTATTGGTGTTTTGCCTGCATGTATGTCTTTGTGATACCTGTGTGCCTGCAGATGCCAGAAGAGGGTGTTGCTTTCTACCTTTGGAACTGAGATACAGATGGTTTTGAGTTGCTATATGAGTGCTGAGAATTGAACTTAGGTCTTCCAGTGCTCTTAACCACCAACCCATCTCTCCATCCCTGTATATGAATACCTGCATCTATGTATACATTCAGAGGTTAGAATGGGGTATCAGATCCCCTGGAACTGGAGTTACAGATGGTTGTCATCTGCCATTGTGGGTGCAGGAAACCAAACCAGGTCTTTTGTAAGAGCAGCAAGTGCTCTTAACTGCTAAGCCATCTCTGGCCCCATATATATTTTTATGACTGCCCATTCTAAATTTGTTTTGTTTTTTGGAGATAAGGCCTCACTGTTTTACCATGTAGCCTGGAACATGCTTTGTAGATCAGGCTGGCTTTGAATTTAGAACTCACAGAAGTCAACTTACCTCTGCCTCCTGAGTGCTGATATTAAAAGTTTGTGACACCATACCTGTCTATAAGGTAACTTTTTTTTACTTAATGCTTTTTTTTTTGGTTTTTCGAGACAGGGTTTCACTGTGTAGCTTTGGGGCTTATCCTGGCACTCGCTCTAGAGACCAGGCTGACCTCGAACTCACAGAGATCCGCCTGCCTCTGCCTCCCGAGTGCTGGGATTAAAGGCGTGTGCCACCAACGCCCAGCCTACTTAATGCTTTTTAAACTTAAAAAAATTATTTATTGGTGTGTGTATATGTGTGTCTATTTGTATACCAGTGTGTGTATATTGGTGTGCGTATATTGGTATGTGTGTGTGTTCATGTATACCAAGGGGTGGATTCCTCTAAATTTATAGGTGTTTGTGGGACAAGGACCTTTTAGTCGGGTCCTCCTAATGGACAGTAGATACTATTAATTGCTGAGCCATCTGTCCAGCCCTAGTAAAATTGTTTAAAAGCAGGCTGGAGAGATGGCTTAGTGAATATGAGCATTTGCTCTTGCAGATGACCTGGATTTGGTTCACAGCATCCACATGTCAGCTCAGAACTGCACGTAGCCCTGCTTCTTAGGGATTTACTACTATCTTCAGAGCACTGTGTGCATTGGGTGCACTTAATACACATAGTGAAAACATCCAGACACATAAAATAAGAGAATACATCTTTCAAAAATTAAAAAAAATTAGTTATGATTTTAATTATTCTAATGTGTTTTACTTAGGAGAATTTCAATTTAGAACAAGCAATCCAAGTAAGAGTTGCCTTTTGACCGTGTGGTGGTGCACGCCTTTAATCCCAGCCCTCGGGAGACAGAGGCAAGAGGATCTCTTGTGAGTTCTAGACCAGCCTGGTCTACAGAGTGAATTTCAGGACAGCTATGGTTGTTACACAGGGAAACTCTGTTCTGGGGGTAGGGTGGGGTGTTGACTTTTGATTTATTTATTTATTTATTTATTTATTTTGGTTTTTCAAGACAGGGCTTCTCTGTGTAGCCTTGGCTGGTCTTGAACTAACAAGAGATGCACCTGCCTCTGCCTTCGAGTGCTGGGATTAAAGGTGTGAGCCACCACTGCCCGGCTCACTTAGCATGTTTTTAAGTCCATCTATTTCATAACTTGTTGAAATTTCATTTGGGGGCTAGCTCAGTGGTAGAGTACTTGCCTAACATGAGTGAGGTCCTAGGTTTAATTTGCAGCACCACAAATAAAACAAAATTTAAAAGAAAAACATGTATATGTTTGTAGGCACTCTTGTGCCATGGCATACATGCAGAAGACAGAGGGCAGCTTTCAGGAATTGCTTCTCTCCTGCCACCACATAGGTTCCAGGGATTGATCTCATGCCATCAGGCCTGGCCATAGGTGCCTTACCAATGAGCCATCTCACAGGCCCTCTTAAAATTTTTTAATGAAGGCTGGAGAGATGACTTGGTGGTTAAGAGTGCTTACTGCTGTTTTAGAGGACCTAGGTTCAATTCCCAGCACCCCCATGGAGGGGGTATAACCATAAAATAAAAATTGAAAAATGTCGGGTTCTTTTGGCTGTTGTTAATAATGCTGCCAAGTACAAAGATTTGAGACCTACTGTTCAGTTCTGAATATTTTGTGGCAATTCTGTATTTGCATTTTTGTTTTGTTTTTTGAGAGGGGTGTCTTTTTTTTTGTTTTGTTTTGTTTTGAGACAGTGTTTCTCTGTGGCTTTGTAGGCTGTCCTAGAACAGCCTCTTGTAGACCAGGTTGGTCTCGAACTCACAGACATCTGCCTGCCTCTGCCTCCCAAGTGCTGGGATTAAAGGCGTGCGCCACCAAAGTCCAGCTCTGAGACTGGGTTTCTCTGTGTAGCTTTGGAGCCTGTCGTGGAGCTCACTCTGTAGACCATGAGCCACCACCACCTGGCTTACCCTTTTTTTGTTTGTTTTGGTTTTGGTTTTGGTTTTTGGTTTTCAGTACTTGGGTTTGAGCCTCAGGCTTGAATAGGCTAAACAAACAAGCAGTCTGTCACTGAATTCTGCCACTGAATCATATCTCTATTCCATTTTTTTTTTTTTTTTTTTTTTGAGACTGCTAGGGAGCATTGTATCAACTGACCCTGTTTTTCAGTTGGTAAAAAGAGTTAAGGCAGGTTTTAGAGTACTCCAGCTTGGGTTTTTATGGTGCTGGTTTGCTTTTACCTCTGTGTTTTCTTGTACATGGGATTGTGGTCCCTCTTGTTCACAGCTCATCCCTCAGACACTCCTTGATCACCCTGTGCTAAATACTCTGCTGGGAAACATTGTCATTTGCAATCACAGAACAGTACTTCTTGCAATCTGTAATTGTTTTGTAGATGTTTACTTGTCAAAAGGTAAAGCTAGTACAGAAGGAAGTGTCTTCCTTGTGATGGCGGCACCTGTGGCTACCTTTGTACATAGTGATGAAACAGCACCTCCGTTAATACCTCAGACTAAGACAAGGTTGTCTATGCCCCTCTATTCCTAGTAAGTGCTTTACTAGGAGTTTTAGCCTATGCAGATACACCTGAGTTGGAAAGAAAAATGTAAAATTTCATTTGCATTCTTTCTTCAGCTAAACTATTACTTGAACAAAAGATTCATAAAATCGATGTCCCCGAAATTTCTTAGGGAATTCCTTGAAGGCTGTATTCTGGCCACACAAAGAATAAATGAATAAAGGAAAAATGGAGGCTGAAAGATTGGTTCTTCTCTGGAAGTGTGATAGTGCTGGGCAGTCATGATTAGAGTGTGAGGGAACTCCCACAACCGAGAGTGTAAACTGAGGGAGTTCTACCTTGAGCCAATCTGAGAGTGGTGGCAGCTTGCCAGACAGCCCTGTAATATAAATGGACAGGTGATACATGAGTTTGAGCAGTATGGAAGATATAAGGAGCAAACAATCCATTCCTTTGATTTTGGAAGGGGTTTTCTTCTAATAGGACTGCAGTGCTGGCCTAGAGAAGGAAATGAGTGGAGAGAGCACTCTTGGTCTTGCATATTGACATGTTTGTAAGTGCATCACTCATTGCAGATTGCAGAGCTGGCTGTGTACATCAAGAAGGTAAAAGTAGAAATGTAGTCGATAGACACTAGGTGGAATATGGAAGTTAGATAGAGAGTAGATTTATTGTTGTTTTTTAATTTGTTTTGTTTGTTGTTTTTTCGAGACAGGGTTTCTGTGTATTGCTTTGGAGGTTGTCCTGGAACTCGCTCTGTAGACCAGGCTGGCCTTGAACTCACAGAGATTCGCCTGCCTCTGCCTCCCGAGTGCTGGGATTAAAGGCATGTGCCACCAAGCCCAGCTGGTTTTTCATTGAGTGCATAAATGCAGTCTTGATGGTTTGATAGTGACTTCTACTGAAGACCAAATGCCCTTGGGAAAACACCATCACTGTGATCTTTCTGAATACTACCAAGCTGCTTTCCCCATGTACAGTCATCGAGGAGTATTAAATTGTAAAGAAAAAGAAAAACTGCTCAGCTTAAAAACAAAACAAAAACACTTCTTGATTAAATTTCTAGGTATTGTTTCCGTTTTATCTCTTTTGGTAATGATCTGGAAGAAACTAATTTGGTTGGCAAAAAACAGGAGCTAGAGAGATGGCTCAACAGTTAAGAGTATTTCCTGTTCTTGCAAAGGACCAAGGTTTGGTTCCCATTATTCACATGGCCGCTCACAGACACCTGAAACTCCAGTTCTGGGGGATGTGATGCCCTTTCTTGGCTTTGTGTGATACACTTGCAGACATGCAGGCAAGACACACAGACTGAAAGTGAGAGTAGAAGCTGAAGGTAGAGTGGTGGCGCACGCCTTTAATCCTAGTGCTTGGGAGGCAGAGGCAGGCGGGTCTCTGGTCAGTGATTGGAAGTGGCCAGGTTTACATAGTGAGAGTTAAACAGACATGGCTGAGCACACCCATAACCCTAGCACTTGGGAAATGGAGGCAGGAAGAACAGTTAAAGGTTATCATCTACTTCATAGTGAGTTTGAGGTTCCCCTGGGCTACCCAACAAAAGTTAAAAAATGGAGGAAACAAATTACTCCATGGATATAGTAGGGAAATACAGGAAGGCATTTCACCTTAGAGATTCCAGGCTAGAAATGTTGTGTGGGAGCTAGGAACACACTGTTCAGTGTGGGAAGAAATACTTTAAATGTGCACTAGCTTGGGGATAGTTTGTTTCTTCAGGTGACACTGTCAGGCAGAAGAAAAGCAGATCTAATGATGTCACTGACAAGAGGAGGGACCAACCATCTTAAAGCTTTTGAACAGAAAGAGGGTTAATTCTTCCTTTCCTTTTCTTTCTTCCTTTCCTTTCCTTTCCTTTCCTTTCCTTTCCTTTCCTTTCCTTTCCTTTCCTTTCCTTTCCTTTCCTTTCCTTTCCTTTCCTTTCCTTTCCTTTCCTTTCCTTTCCTTTCCTTTCCTTTCCTTTCCTTTCCTTTCCTTTCCTTTCCTTTCCTTTCCTTTCCTTTCCTTTCCTTTCCTTTCCTTTCCTTTCCTTTATCCAGACAGGGTTTTTCTGTAGCTTTGGAGGCTGTCCTGGAACTCTCTCTGTAGATTAGGCTGTCCTGGAACTCACAGAGATCCGCCTGCCTCTGCCTCCAAGTGCTGTGATTAAAGGCGTGAGCCAGCCCAGCAAAGGTTAAACTTTTGCATAAAGTATCTTTTGAAAAAAAAATTTGTTTTTCATTTCAAGACAGGGTTTCTCTGTGTAGCCCTGGCTGTTCTGTAACTTGCTCGAATTCATAGAGATCCACGTGCCTCTGCCTCCTGAGTGCTGGGGTTAAAGACTTGTACATGACCACTACACTTTGGAAAAGATTTTATTTTTGTTTTATGTGTATGAGTGTTTGTGTGTCTTGTACCACATGCATCCCTGGTGCCCATGGAGCCAGAAGAGGGCATCAGATCCTCTGGAGCTGGAGTTAACAGACAGTTGTGAGCCACCATGTGGGTGCTGGGAATTGAGCCAGGGTCCTCTACAAAAGCAGCCAGTGCTCTTGACTGCTGAGCCATGTCTCTGACCCCTAGAGCATTAAAATTTGTCTGGTTTGATGTCACCTAGAGGGGATTCTTTGTGCGTGGTTCAGAAATCAATAACTGAAACAGAAGGGAGAAGTAAAAGTGTAGAAAATAATTAAAGATTTATCCTCAAAGGTAGGTGTAACATGACGGTTTCTCTGGCCCAGCTAGGTCCTGATGCTCTTCTCTGCCTCAAAGAAACACTCAGACTCTATATTAGTTATAAATACTGTTGGCCTTTGGCTAAGATTTCTTATTTGCTAGCTCAGTCTTAATTATTAGCCCATTTCTAATAATGTATTTCCACGTGCTTATCTTACTGGAGATAAGGTCCAGGCCTCTTACTCTATTGGAGTCAGCATCTCTGCATAGAAGAAAGATAAGAGGGCAATTTCCTGCTTGTCCCTGCTTATTTATTGATTCTGCCCTGCTACATCACTTCCTTCTGGATCACATGGCAACTTCTCTTTATTACATTTCCCAGAATCCTCCTCGAGTCCTAGTCCCACCTATATTGCTTCCCTATTGGCCAACAGTGCTTTATTCGTCAACCAATAAGACAAACATATATACAGAAAAACATTCCCAATCAGGTAAGCAGCAGATTGAGGGTAAAAATGGTTGTCTGTCTTTGCAAAATGGATGTCTGTTGGCTATTAGTTCTAGTGGGTTCTCAGTTGAGTCAGAGCAGGTGCTGTCCATGTCCTGTGGGACAGCAGGAGCCAACATGGACCACATCAGGGTTGATACTTGTTAATCAGCTGTGTTTTCCCCAACAGGCGTGGTTTCTGTCTGTTTTGAGGGAGACAGTGATGGTTACATCAACTTGGTAGCCTACCCTTACGTGGAAAGTGAGACTGTAGAGCAAGATGACACACCAGAACGGGAGCAACCTCGACGTAAACACTCCCGCCGGAGCCTGCATCGGTCAGGCAGTGGTAGTGACCACAAGGAGGAGAAAGCCAGCCTGTCCTTTGAGACCTCTGAGAGGTAAGAGGGTAGCATGTAGAACTGCTGGCCCGTGCTAAATCCTAATGATACACACAGGACAGTGTTGGAGTCCTGACACATGATGAGGATAGCACCAATAATAAAAATCCATAGTCAGATTTTGAAGATCAGAGAAGCAAAGCAGCCAGCCACTAGAGAGTTCTCATCTCTACCAGTGCTCAGACCGAAGGGGTGATCCCGTCACAATCCCGTCACATTGCATCTCCAGACTGCATCTGTCTCCACCAAACCTCAGACTGCACTGAGCTCTCTCCTCCTGCCTTGTATTCCTCTCCAGTGCTGGGATTAAAGGTGTGGGATCCCAAATGCTGAGATCACCTTGAGTGAGCTCTGTTTCTCTTTTAGACTGCAGCAATTTCAAGTAGCTCAGGGTGTCCTTGAATTAACAGATCTGTCCGCCTCTCAAGTGTTGGGATTAAAGGTGTATATACCACCATTGCCTGGCCTCTGTAGCTAACTTGTGTGGCTAGCTTTGCAGTCTGATCTTCAAGTAAGATTTATTTGTTAGATCATAAACAAAATATCACCCCAGATGAGAAAGTGGTTCTCAACAATAGGATGGCGGTGGGGTGGGGTGGGGGTGGCTGGTGTTCGTGAGGCCACTCCCACAGATGCCGCCTCCTTTATGTTCCACTACCTCAGTGATGTTGCCTTCTAAATATGGCTAAATCCATTGAGAGCCCTTCAGAGGCAGGGGTGCCCTATGCTCATAGTGATAGGCTGTTTTGCTTTCTTTTAAGTCTCATACTCAGAAGTCAGAATTTGAATTGCACTGATCAGCTACTTTCTTACCTACAGGATGTCTGAGTATGGAGCAGTGATAATTCATATAGACTTAGTACCTTAGTGGCTTTTTGTTCAGACTGAGAAATCTGATATCATTATCATTTCCCTGTTCCTAAAATTTATGCAGACATTAGTCATTAGTTAATTTCTCTGGGTTGAGTAAAATACAAAGGATAGGGGGGCTGGAGAAGTGGCTCAGAGGTTAAGAGCACTGGTTGTGCTTCCAAAGGTCCTGAGTTCAATTCCTAGCAACCACATGATTTCTGTGAGTTCAAGGCTAGCCTGGTTTACATAGAGAGTTCCTGGTCAGTCAGGGATAAATAGTGAGACCTAGTCTCAAAAAAAATTTTTTTAAATGAATAAAAACACACACACATCCATTTTGTCAGTATTGTTTGTTGTTTGTGAGACAAGCTTCGCTATGTATTTTTTTAAGATTTTATTTATTTATTACATAATACAGTCTTCTGCCTGCATGTCAGCAGAGGGCACCAGATCTCATTCAAGGTGGTTGTGAGCCACCATGTGGTTGCAGGGAAATGAACGAAGGACCTCTGGAAAAGCAAGCAGTGCTCTTAACCGCTGAGCCATCTCTCCAGCCCCCACTATGTACTTTGAATGACATAGAATTCATGTGTAGATCAGACTAGCCTCACACATGGTAATCTCCCATCTCTACCTCTCAAATGCTGGGATTGCAGGAGTATGACACCATGCTCAGCCTTGTGCTCCTTTCTGAATATTCCTAGCTGAATATTTATCATATAGACATAATACCATCTTTTGTTTTATTCATTCATCAAGTTATGATGAACATATAAGGGAGGATATACCTGTGGGAGTGGCTGATGAATACCGGCTACCCTCTACTCCTGTTGTTGAAAACTATGTAACAGGGCTGGAGAGATGGCTCAGAGGTTAAGAGCACTGACTGCTCTTTCAGACGTCCTGAGTTCAAGTCCCAGCAACCACATGGTAGCTCACAGCCATCTATAATGAGATCTGGTGCCCTCCTCTTCTGCATATAGGCATACATATATGCAGAATGCTATACACATAATTAATAAGCAAATCTTTAAAAAAAACTGTCTATAGGTATAGATATATAGATAGGTATATGTACTTTTCTTATATATTTATACAGTTATATAGACAGATAGATAGATATAGATGCAGATGTTCACAAGGATGTAGAGAAATTGAAACCTCTACAAAGTGGTACAGCCTTAAATTTCTGTTCTTCCTGTCCCTATCTCCTGAGTGCTGGGATTAGACATTTACTGCCATGCCTGGCTCATGTAGTGCTGAGGAGAGAACTCAGGGTTTCTTGCATGCCAAACATACACTCTACCAACCAAGCTACATCCCTAGCCATAGGGAAACGCGGTGTGTGTGTGTGTGTGTGTGTGTGTGTGTGTGTGTGTGTGTGTGTGTGTGTGTGTGTGTGTGTAATCTTTTTTTTTTAAAGATTTTATGCCAACAGAGGGCATCAGATCTCATTTAAGGTGGTTGTGAGCCACCATGTGGTTGCTGGGAATTGAACTCAGGACCTCTGGAAAAGCAACCAGTGCTCTTAGCCATTGTGCCATCTCTACAGCTCCATAGGGAAGTGTTTTTGATGGGGCAGTAAACATTTCGTCCCTGGCATCAGATCACGTCACTGGAACATGCTGCCCACATGAACTCCCAGAGGCTTGTTCAGGGTCCTGGGCAGTCTGCTCTCCTCACTTAGGCTTTAAGAGGTCCTGTTAACGCTGAACCCTTGTGCGCTTGTTTCTCCCCTGTTCTTTGGGCCAATTCTACATCTGTATTGTGAGAGGCCTACACCCCCACACCTTAAGTAAGATGATGCCTTGGTGTTGGGTATTCTGAGGGCTTCTGCCTACAAGACCACTTTCTTTCCTTCATCTGCATCATTCATAGGGGCTTCCTCTTAACCAACAGCTGTGGGGTCTAACTTGGGCATTTCAGGGACAGAACATTCCAGTCAGCAGCTAGAGACTGAGAATTCTCTCTGCAGCTGAGGAGAAAGGGTCCTCTTTTAGCAGTTTATAGAGGGGGAGTTGTTTTGTTCTCCAAGGTGACAGCATTTGCTTTATGAATAATGGGTGGAAAGCCTCCGTGAATGTCGATTTGGCATCAGGGTCTGCTGTGAAAGTGCCAGCTCTGTCTTCATTGACTGGACTCCTGTCTGTCTGTTAGCAGAGATTCTGAGTCATACCAAAGGTGGAGGTTACTCAGCAGGGCCAGGACTACAACTCCAGAGGTAATGCCAATCCTACAGGGGTCCCATCCAGACCTGCAACTTGTCTGGGTTTACTTGGCAAGTGTTTCTAACGCCGCCCTGCATCTGCTCTTGGGAAGTGGGGTAGGGTGTCAGGCACTGTTCAGGAGAAAGGAGGTCTTTGCCCAGAGGTGTCCCAAATGCTTGTTGCTCCAAGGAAGGGCAGCGTTTTCAGCACACCCTAGGCCTGCTGGGTAGAGGGAGAATAGGCCAGCATTTCTGGAAAGGAAGGTAACACTTGAAATTGCAATGGCACTCTGCCTCTGCTGTGTGCCACAGACTTGCTCTGAGTGTATGGCTTCACTAACAGTGAGGTTCTGTGGCCTCGAGATTGAGAGACGTTATATTTCCAGGCTCATCTGGACATCATTATGTAGCCCTTGAGCTTCTTGGTCCTCCTGCCTCTGTCTCCTGTTAGGGTTACAAGGCATGCACTACCATGCCTGGTGGCGATTGAGCCCATGACCTTATGCATGGTAGGCAAGCACTCTACTCACTGAACTATAGCCTTAGCCCAACTTGCTTGTAGTTGTTTTGAGTATTTATCTACATGTGAAGGTACAGTCAAGTAATCCTCTTTAACTCGGGGAATTTTTTTCAGACGCCTCTTCCCCCATTTGCGTGTGGCAGTGGGGTGTACATGCTTGTGGGCATGCATGCATATGGAGGCCAGAGGCTGACATCAGAAGTCATTCTCTATAACTCTTCTACTTTATTCATTGAGGCAGTGTCCCTCATTTAAATTAAACTAGTCAGTTCACCAGTATGACTAGTCTCAATGCTCATACTCATCAGCTTGCTCTAGGGATCCCTGTGTATTACAGTTGTCTAGAGGAACAACCAATATATGGCGATTTATTGGAGTGGCTTACCAGATGGGGTCCAGCTACTCCAACAATGCCTATCTACCAACAGAAAGTTAGAAATCCAGTAATTGTTTAGTCCATGAGTCCATATATCCCAGTTGGTCTTCAATATGCAGGAATCCTGAAGAAGTAGGCTCTAATGCCGGTGAAGTAATGAACTTGTCAGCTGTAGAGGGAGGGCTAGCAGGCATAGAGCAAAAGCTTCCTTCTGTGTCCTTATATAGGCTCCAGCAGACAATCTGGGGCAGATTAAAGGTGGCTCTTCCCACTTAAAATGATTTGAGAACAATCCCTCACAAGTGCACGCAGCTGCTTGGGTTTTAGTTCATTTCAGATAGTCATCTTGACAACCAAGAACAGCCATCACCCCGTCTTTACCTTCTGAAGGCTGGAATTCCAGCCTCGCTACTGCCTTCACCCAACATAACACAGACTCTGGGATCTGAACTCCAGTTCTCAACAACACTTGTGTGATGAGTACTCTGCCACTGAACCATCATTTTTTGTTTGCTTGTTTTTTGAGACAGAGTTTCTCTGTGTAGCTCTGGCTGTCCTAGAACTAGCTCTGTAGACCAGGTTGGCCTCAATCTCACAGAAATCCTCCTGCCTCTGCTTCCTTCCTGAGTGCTGGGATTAAAGGTGTACGCCACCACCGCCCAGCTGCCAATCCAGGTTTTAAGGATTTCTTTGGGTTGCCCATGCTAGTCTGGTCTCTTCTGCCACATTGGCCTCCCGAGCATCTGGGACTACTGGCGTGCTCTGTAGTGAAGAGCACCTGTGAAGACACCAGGGGCTATCCTAGTTTATATCCATACCAGCAGTGTACAGGGAAGGGCTCTAGCTTCTTTACATCCTACATGGCACTTGTTCTAGTTCTTTCTTTTTGAAGATTTATTTATGTTTTTATTGTTTTTAATTTTGTATGTATTTATGTCCGTGTATGGGTCTGTGTGCCTGAGTTCAGATGCCTGCAGAGGATCCAGGGGTGTTAGATTTTCCTGGCCCCTGGCACAGTACAAGCAGTCATGAGCCCCCTCATGTTGGTGTTGTGAACCAAGCTCCAGTCCTCTGCAAAAGCTATGGGTATTCTTAATCACTGAGCCATCTCTCCAGCTCCTACTATTCTTTCTTCTGCGCCACTCCCTGCGCCCCTCCCCCACTGTTCTGACCCCACCTCCATACATTGTCTCTGTGCACCCCTGACTGTCCTGGCACTCATTCTGTAGCCCAAGCTGGCTTTGAACTCCAGAGATCTGCTTGCCTCTGCCTCCTGAGTGCTGAGATCAAAGGTGTGAGACACCTGGCCTCTTTTTTTACTATTTAAATTAAGTGCCATTTATTATTGGGATGTGGATATGGGTGTTCATACACCCACCCCTATGTGTGTCAAGAGGACAGAGGACAAATTTGTGAAGTTGGTTCTTTCCTTCTACCATATGGACCCTGGGGATCCAACTGGGGCTGCCAGGTTTGTGCAGTAGCCCATGATACCAGTGTCCAGATTTTTCGTGGGACGCTAATCGAACGGGAAGTGTTATCGTATGCTATGATTTGACATGATTATTTTTCAGGCAGTTTCAGAGGCCCAAGGAGGACAACTCTCATTCTGTTCACTCACTTTTATCTGGTGCCAGTGCCACCTGTAAGTAGGTTTTGAGTGACAGGCTAGGCTTGTTCTAATCCTTCTCTACCCTGTGTCCCTAAGGATGACTTCTCTGATCTCTTAGTGGTATCTGTGTTCTTCCTTCTTAGCTCCCAGGAGGCCAAGAGCCCGAAGGTGGAGCTCCACAGCCACTCAGATGTCCCTTTCCAGATGCTAGACAGCAATAGCGGTCTGAGTTCTGAGAAGATCAGTTACAACCCCTGGAGCCTGCGCTGCCACAAGCAGCAGCTGAGCCGTATGCGCTCTGAGTCCAAGGACCGAAAACTCTACAGTATCCTTGTCCACTGAAATTGTGTGAGAAAATGGCAAGATAGTTTTGTTTTTGTTTTTGTGGTTTTGGTCTGGGGACTGAATCAGGGGCTTCATTCCTGCCCAAGCATTTGCTCTACCACTGAACTAACCTCTTACTCTCAAGATAGATATTTTAAAGGTTTTTTATTAGCATATATTAGACATAATAGGTTTTATTATGAGATTTTTATATGTGTATATAATGTATTTTGATAACATTTACCAGTTCCATTCTCTAGTGTCCCTTCCACTCATCTTCCTCTTCCCAACTACCCCACTTCTGCTTCCCTTGTGTGTTGCACTAGGCAGGGGTGTTTATAGGAATTTGGGTACCTTATACCCTGGGGAGAAAAATCTCTTTCCCCTCTGAACCATTGACTAAGTAAAAAGCCTCAGGGAGAGATGGAGCCCACTGATCCTCTCTTGCTTCCATGCGTGACATGGTGTTTGTGGATAGAACTGGTTTCACATGGATAATGGTAGCTGTTTCAAGTTTTTGTTTTGTTTTGGGGTTTATTTTTTGTTGGTTTTTTTTTTTTTTTTCTTTTCTTTTTTGAGACAGGGGTTTCTCTGTGTAGCTTTGGAGCCTGTGCTGGAACTCGCTTTGTAGGCCAGGCTGGCCTTGAATTCACTGCCTCTTCCTCCCGAGTGCTGGGATTAAAGGCTTGCACCACAATGCCAGGCTGAATTTTTTTTTTAATTTAATTTCATGTATATGAATGTTTTGCCTGTAGGTATGTATGTGTGCCATGAGTGTACCAGTTGCCTGTGGAGGCCAGAAGAGAGTGTCAGATCCCCTGAACTGGAGTTAGAGATGATTGTGAGCCACCATGTTGTTGCTGGGAATTGAACCCAGGTCTTCTGCAAAAGAAACAAGTGCTCTGAACTGCTCAGTCACCTCTCCAGTACCCAGGAATGAAATTTTGATACATTGTATGACATGAGTGAATCTTAAAAGCCATTTATTAAGCCTGACATAAAAGGATTAGTGCTGGAAGAGTCTAGTAAATGAGCTGCCTCCAATAGACAGATTCCTAGACACAGAAAGTGGAGGTTTCCTGGAGAGTAGAAAGGGCAGGTGGGGGTGAAGGGTCAGTGGATAGAGATTCAGCTTGGGGAGGGGGACCGTAGAGATGCCCCGCCTGCCTCTGTCTGGCATTAAATATGTGCACCACCATGCCCAGCCCCTGATCACTGTGTAGAGCAGGCTGGCCTCAAACTCACAGAGATCCATCTGCTTGTGACTTCTGAGTGTCATGGTTGGGATTAAAAGCATGCACCACCCTTCCCACCCCCACATCTAAGATTATATGTGATGTATATTCTACCAAATTTTGTTGAAGCAGTAATTTGAAACTACAACTTATGAATTTGTGAGGCATTTATATCCTAGCAGCAGTTTCCCTCCCTCCTCTCCTCCCACTCACCTCCTCTTTGTCCTCCTGCCTAGTCTACTCCTCTGTTTTTGTTCAAAAAGAGGCTGGTCTCCCATGGGTATCAACAAAACATGGCTTACCAAGTTGCAGTAAGACTAAGTATCTCCCCGTAGAGGTACAGATTAATATACACAGGACTAGGATAAATATAGGTTAATTGGGGGGCGGGGGTCACTTACACAAGAAACTGATGACTCATAAGTTCCAGCTCCAAAGATCCACACCCAGCTGCTCTCTATGACCTGACCAGAACCAAGAGCACAAGCCTGTTCACCCCAGACCAAATCCCACATGCTCACATAGGCACCTGTGACCACACCCATAGGTCCACAGGTGCAGCTGGGTGGATCTCTCACTACAGTTCCTCTTTTAGTCTAAAGAAAAAGATTTAGACTTGATACAAAGTATATACAAAGATAGCAAATATCAAGTATGCCCTAGGATAAGGAAAAGTAAGAACATACACCCTTAAGACCTATTGCAGTGAAGCAACAAGAGCAAATGGCAAGAACTACACCTCCCCTGTGTTAAGGCTGGACAAGGCAACTCAGTGTGAAGTGGGCGCCCAAGAGCCAGCCAGAGTGCCACTGTTGTAGAAAATTGTAATTGTGCTTTACTGGGTGGAGCTGGCAGTGAGCATAGTTGTCGTCATTCTTGACTCTGGTCCAGAGTTCCTCCTGCTTGAGAATGTGGTACACCACTTCAAGTACCCCTGTGTGCTGGACTTGAAGATGGGTACCCGGCAGCACGGAGATGATGCATCAGCTGAGAAGGCAGCCCGGCAGATGAGGAAGTGTGAGCAGAGCACATCTGCCACGCTGGGGGTCAGGGTCTGTGGCATGCAGGTAAGTCACACTGGTGAGAGCCCAGTGCTGCTGAGTGCATGTTTTAGCTTGTGCCCATACCTGCCTGACACCCATGTCCTCCTGGCCTGCGCTGTTCCTGAGTCTGCTCTAAAAGGGTGAGTCACCCACAGGGTGCTGAGTATGTCTTTGCAAGTGGGTTCTCTGAGCCCTGCTTTCCTCACTTGACTTTGATTAAGCTCCATGTGCAGGGTCATTGAGAGAGCCTGTTGCCTTATCACTGGGCAAGCAAGACTTGTCTGTCAGCACTGTGTTCCCAGTTAGAATCTAGCTGGGCCTGGGACAGCTTGGAGGCAGGCTTCTAAAGTGATGGCTATAGGCCTGGTGTTGGCTTTCACAGCTCCATGACTGGAAAACCTGGGGTGAATGTGGCCTCCCTGCTCCAGTAGGAGGAGCTGAAGAGCTCAGGTTGGTCAGAGTGCCTTCCAGACTTGTTTGTTTGGTTGGTTGGTTGGTTGGGTTTTTTGTTTTTTTTTTTTTTGTTTTGTTCTGCTTGGGGACACTTTGTGGCCATCAAACCTTCCTGGTACTCAACTTTGTCTTGTCTCCTGGGGTTTCAGGTATACCAGCTGGACACAGGTCATTACCTCTGCAGGAACAAGTACTATGGTCGTGGACTCTCCATTGAAGGCTTCCGCAACGCCCTGTATCAGTACCTGCACAATGGCCTGGACCTGCGACGTGACCTCTTTGAGCCTATCCTGAGCAAACTTCGGGGCCTCAAAGCTGTGCTGGAGCGGCAGGCCTCCTACCGCTTCTACTCCAGTTCTCTGCTCGTCATCTATGATGGCAAGGAGTGCCGGTCTGATCTCCGACTCAAGCACGTGGACATGGGGCTCCCTGAAGTGCCACCATCCTGTGGCCCCAGCACTAGCCCTAGCAGCACCAACCTTGAAGCCGGCCCCTCTTCTCCGCCCAAGGTGGATGTCCGCATGATTGACTTTGCACACAGCACATTCAAGGGCTTCCGGGATGACCCCACTGTTCACGATGGGCCGGACAGAGGCTATGTGTTTGGTTTGGAGAATCTTATCAGCATCATGGAGCAGATGCGGGAAGAGAACCAGTAGGCCAGCTCTGGGCCCTAAGACCCCGTCCTCTCCACCCACAGGCAGGGACCATTGCTCTGAACTTGCTGTGAGGACACACTGACTTGCTTTTAAAGGGTTATATTTCTCTTTGGTGTAAACTAAAAGAAATGTTTTTAGCTGTAGCCTGGAATCCATATATATATATATATATATATACATATATATATACACACACACACAAAGTAAAGGAGGGCAGAACATACGTCCTCTCAGCCAGGCTCCTTAGCTTTGTGGCTCTGTCTGCTGTGTCCAGGCTGACTCAGGAAGGAAGAGGTGCCCCAGTGGGCTTGGCAGCAGAGACAGAATGCCTTTGAACTTTGGTTCCCTTGCCTAAGGTTTTGGGGATCTGTGGCTGTAGGGCTCTGCTGGTTGTGAGGTGAAGCCCTTGGCTGGCACAGGCTCTCTCCATGCCTACTAAATCCCTCATTTCCCAGAACTGGGGAGGTTAAGTGCCCATGCCGTGGGGGGGGGGGTCTTTCTAATTTTGTGCCAGTCTTGAGCAGTTGCCCTTGGCCTTACAGGGCTGACTGCACAGATGGACTCATCCTTGGGTCTCATTTTGGCATGGGGTTAGATTTGTGAAGCTGAGCTAAGGCCAGCAAACAGCAGGGGGCAGGCCCTGGGCTCCCTAGGCACCTACTGGCATGTAAACTTGCTCCTCTGTCCACAACCCCAGCCAGCCTGTCGCCAAGATCCCTTGCCTAAGGAGGCCACACATCCTCCTGTCCTACTGAGATGGGCACAGCTCTGTTTGCTGAGGTGAGTCAGTGTCCCAGTAGGCCCAAGGGTCTTTAGTGGCTCTGGCCTAGACAGTATTTGCAGTTCTTGAGCTTTGGGTGGTGTCCCTTCCTCTAGTTTGGGCAGCTGCGCTGCCTCTAGACGGGCTGCTGCTCCCAGGGCTCAGGGTCTGTGGTCCACTCAGGGTCTCGTCTTCTCCAGGCCAAGCCCAAGGCGGAAGCCCATTGTGTGTGTTGCAGGCTCCAGGCGTGGAGGGAGAACTTTAAATGTGTCTGCTTCTAGGGACGTAGGACCCTGGGTACAGGTGCCCAGCGTCTGCTGAGAACTTTGTGTGTTAGTCCTGGGATCTGTCAGGAAGTTCCTTTGTCTGCCTGCCAGGCTGTTCTGTGGTGAGCTCTCTGGAGTATAGCCTTGTTGATAGTATATATTGCTTTGCTTCATGCTCTCCTCAGCAGAACATTCTTTCCCTTTTCTGAGGAGAGCCTTTGCTCCTGTGCCCTTCCTTTGCAGGTTCTGCTGTTTTACAAACCTGTTGACAGAATGACCCGTAGTGGTGTTCACCTGCTGGCCTTGTGGGCCTGGGTGTGGCCTTCAGTGCCAACAGTGGGGGTGATCCTGACCCGTTGCTTATTTTTGCTACCAGCCCTTTGATGGTAACATTACGTGTGCTACAGGCTACACTGCACTCAGCCATCACCAAGGTGAGCAGCAGTCTCCAAGTCTGTGGCCCACAGTCAACACTTCTGACATGTCTGTTTTGGCGTTTAAAGATATTCCTGCCAGCCTTTGAGAGATATTGGTAACTAATGGTGTAATTCCTGGTTCATAGAGATGCAGCCTCTGAGAAGGGCTCCTTGACAGAGACCCCAGTCATGGTCTTCTGACCCTGGTGCCAGTGGTGGGCAGGTTCCCATTCCTTAGGGCCGGGAGGCATAGCTTTGCCCATTTCTGGTTAGGAACAACTGTCTTGTGTCCAGTAGTGTTATGTTGCTTCAGCCATGGGGGCAGTAGGTGTTCATTATTGTAGACACATGTTTTCTGCCAGGAGAGAGGCTAAGAGAGGGGTTTGGGGCCAAACCTTCCCCAGTTAACCAGATTCTGGGAGGCACTGCCCCTTTTGCTGCTTCTCACGTAGCAAAGGAAGCTATCCCCCTTACATTGTGAGTTCTGCCACTACAGCTTGGAAAGGCTGGGATTCGCTGCTTCTCAAGGGCAGGGCCCCACTTTCAGCACTTTTGATATCTGGAGGGCCAGCCCGTTTATCTGATAGGTGGTGGTGAGTGTGAGATAACACTTTCTGCCATTGCTTTTCTACCTGTCCCAGGCTAGAGCCCTGTCCCTGACTGACAGACCCTGCTTTCCCAGCCCCAATTTGGGACCAAAGTGCAACTCGGGATCACAGGTTGGGGAGCTCAGGTTACCCCTTTCCATAGTATTTCCTGGGGCTAAGCACTCAGCAGCCCTGGGAGATGGGTGGGAGTGAAAATGGGATGGGTGGTGCTTAAAGAGGAAAGGGACCAGTGTAGTAACTAACTTGCCTGGGACCCCACCCTTCCCAGCTTTGGGCCTGTGCAATGGGCATGAGGATTCTCTCCTAGAGGCCAGAGGCCAGGGGCCTGGGCTAGTTCAGTATCCGCTGCTCATTCACTCACATCTGGCCACGTGCACGTTCCCAAGATGTAAACTGCTTTGAACTTTACAGCTGTGTAAGTTGGTTGTGTGTATTCCCATTAAAAAAAAAAAAACAAAAAACAAACAAAAAAAAAAAACTGCATTTTAATGAGGAAAAAGGAGAACCTGGTGAAAGTTCCTTTGCTTCTGTAGAGGAAATGTAAGACTTCGAGGTCTGGAAATTGTTCTCTGCTCCTCTTTCCTGGAAGCTACACACCTGCCTACATACCCTAAGACCTGCGCCTGGATGCACACGTGGCTCCATTGGCGTTTAGGCGCGCTTGCGTTTCCCTGGGTCTTGTGTGTGGTGGAGAGGAGTGCTTGGCCCGAGCCGGCCCCTTTCTGTACACCTAGCGCTCCCCGCCCGCTTGTGTCAGGTCGTATATGTCAAAATAAAGCCTCTAGAAACTAAACTCTGTCCAAGTCTTCGTGAAACCTTCACAGCCTCGGGGTGGGCCGGCTGCACTGGGTTGGGACAGCACCGGAGCGGCTGGCGATGGGGTGAGGACCAGGGGAGTGGTACTGGAGGGGCGGGCTCCTTGGGGTGGGTCCGG